ATCAATGCAATTATACTTTGCTAATATCTGCAGGAAGATTCCTTAAAATCAATTTCATACAAAACAATTAGAATTAATGGTATGTTTTGAACGCTTAGTTAATTTTAATACCTCATTGAATGATTCTCTATTTGTCACATCATAAACAACGACCGCTCCACGGGCTTCACGCAAATACGATGGGATCAGGCTGTGAAAACGCTGAAAACCGATTCTAAAACTAGAAGATGTATGTTAAACATAGGAGTAAGAGGATTTTGTGGCAGAAAAAGGAAAAATCAGGAAGTTTGCTTCAGAAGGGAGAAGATATATTTTTTTTAGCAAAAAGGGTTACGAAACCTATTGTTATTATGGCAGTAAGTAACTGTTTTCTGCTCTTAGATTCTCTGTAATCACTGATATGCAAAGTAAAGTCTTGCATACCTCTTGACCGGCTGTGTCCCAAATTTGTATCCTCACAGGCCTTCCATCTACATTTACTGTTCTCCCCGTAAAGTCGACACCTTTAAAGTTTTGTACTATTTGAAGAATCTTCAATAATTCAGTGATTACCTATTGTAGGTATAGCTTTATCTGTCCAATAGTTATCCACAAATCTAGTGATTATTGCCGTTTTACCCACTCCAGCCGCTCCGAGGAATATTACCTATTATTGAAACTAAAGAAGACTATGCTAAAATCTGAGATACTTACCTTAATTCTACTAAAATATGACGAATCCACATAGGTTTCATCCATGAATTAAACAGAAATGGATAATTTATTGATTGCTGACTTTAATAACAGATAGTCGATGCACCGTTGCAGGTGCAGCTGATAAGGAAACCATTGAATCAGTGGGGGGCGAATGATCTAAAGTAACGTTGCATTCACGTGAGAATAGAAATATTACAACATAAAAGCTTATTACTTGTACGGGAAAAATGTTAGATTTTTTGGCTTTTTACAATCATACCTAGTCTTTTTTGTTGGTTGTTTTGATTAACGACAGAATCCTTTGTTATCGCCCAAAACTTCATTTTTAAACTCATGGGATGCAGAAGTTTTTTTTTGAGTTTTTTCATTTCCAAATTTTATTTGGTTGAAGTTCGATCTTAAATGAGCTTAAAGTGGTAGTTTTGGTCTGAATTTAAAGCATGAGAGCGACGTATTTTGCATTTGAAATTAGCAGTAGACACTTCTATAGTTTTAACGGAATAATAGAATCATGTGCAGATAATGAACAATTTGGTGCTTTAAGCTGCATAATGCAATTTTATTGTAAAGATCAATGCAACCCAACATTACTTCCTCCTAAAGAACTCCTCTTAGAGACTGCTGCTGAAAGATCAGTTCAAGTGTGAATGAATGCTTCATCGCGTCTCCTGAAAAGGATGCTACTATTGAGTTTACTATCGTTTCGAAGTAGAAATGAGATTAATGACGTTTGGACTAAACATCTTTGTGCCCACTTTTAAATCAACAGGAATTTAAATGACAAAATAAGTTTAGTCATCCTGTTAGAAATATAGAATCATCATTCAGCGAGGAATTTTACTGAAATTGACAGTGAGTTGAGAAATTTTCCTTTTTTATGGTTTTTCA